ACGCAGCAGCAGTCAAGTGACTCCAGGTTCGGGTGCAGCAGGTTGCCGTGGTTCTGGGACAGCAGATCTGGCCGAAGAGGTATCTGCAGCGGGGTGGCTGCCAAGAGACTCAGCAGCATGCCGAACCAGTACTGATGAGGCCACACCGGGACAATTAGAATACTTTGTCTTACTTTACCTTGAGCAGGACTCTGTGGATTAACGGCACTGGCGGGAAGGCGGTATTTGACTTTGGGTGCTGATGTACGCTTTGTCCCTGCCCCGCAGAGAACAGAACATGTGGCACTGCCTGTTCTGTCTGGACCTGTGGAAGATCAGGCTGACCACTTCCAGAGGGAGTGACCATTTGTGGGGAGACGAGAAGGTCCTGCTGAGGCAATCTGCCAGGCCATTCTTGGCTCTGGGCAGGTGGGCAACTACCAAATGAATGGCATGTCACACACAAAAGTTCCAGAGGCTGAGCGTTTCCCCAACAAAGGCCCGAAGACCTGGCTCCAACCTGCTTGTTGATGTAGTACATTGCAGCTGTATTGTCCATCAGAACCTGCACCACCCTGCCCTTCAGGTGGAACAAGAATACCTGGAAGGCCTGGCAAACCGCTTTGAGCTCCATGACGTTCATATGAAGGCCCAGATCGCTGTATAGCCAGCAGCCCTGGGTGTTGAGCTCGTCCAGATGGGCTCCCCAGCCCAGGTCAGATGCGTCTGAAACCAGGGTAAGCGACGGAGACGGGGTCACGAAGGGAACCACCTGCCGCACTGACTCTGGATCCAGCCACCAGTCCAAGGATGAGAGAGACGTGGCTTGGCACCATGACCACTCGGTCCAGGACATCCCTGCTGGGGATACAGACCAAGGCCAGCCATGCCTGCAGAGGTCGTACATGAAGATGGGCATGGCTGACCATGTATGTGCACTCGGCCACGTGGCCCATTAGTCATGGGCTGTGGTAAGCGGATGGCTCTTCACGTGGGCCATCAAGTCCGACATGGTTTGGAAGTGCACTTCCGGAAAAAAGGCCCTCGCTCGCGTGGAGTCGAGAACCTCTCCAATAAACTCTATGCGTTGGGCCAGCATTAACGTGGACTATTCTGTGTTTATTAACAGGCCCAGATCATTGCAGGTGAACCACACCAGCTCGAGGCTCCATCGGACCTGCTCCGGAGACCTGCCCTTGATGAGCCAGCTGTCGAGATACGGGAAGATCTGGACCTAGCGATGTCTCAGGTAAGCCACTACCAGTGTCACTCACCTTGTGAGCACCCTGGGGGCAAAGACAGGCCAAAGGGTAACGCCATGAACTGGAAGTGACGCCCGGCCACTATGAAACGCAAGAAGCACTTGTGGCCCAGGAATATGGAGACATGAAAGTAAGTGTCCTTCAAGTCGAGAGCAATGTACCAGCCCCCCCGGATCCAGGGAAGGAATGATGGAGACCAGGGAGTCCATGTGGAACTTCAATTTCTTGAGAGACTGGTTGAGGCCATGCAGATCCACGAGGGGCCTGAGACCTCCTTTGGGATTAGGAAGTAGTGGGAATAGAATTATCTTCGTTCAATGTCCCGAGGAACCTTCTCCACAGCCCCCAAGCCCAAGAGCTTCTCTACCTCCTGAGCAAGGAATCGCTCGTGAGAAGGGTTTCTGAAAAGAGATGGGAAAATTGGGGGGGGGAGGGAGGGAGCTGGAAGGAGGAGCAGCCAAGAACTGCAGGATATAGCCCCAAGCCACTATGTCCAGGACCCAGTGGTCCCACATAACCCATGACCAGGCTGAGCGGCAGGGGGAAAGGCGGTTGAGGAAAAGGCGGGTAGGATCGTCGACTGACTGGGGCGTCACTCTCGGGCACACTCTCAAAACGATCACTTCTGGCCCCCTGGGTGTTTGGCTGCCCCAGGCTGGGCTGGCGAGCAGGAGGAAGAAGGGCGACAACTACTAAAACTAGCATCCCTTCTCCTTGTAGGTCCCTAATGAGGCTGCCAGGGTCTTGGCGGCAGTGGTGGTTGGAAGGGCTTCTTGGCTGATTACAGCATGTGCATGCCCAACGAGCGAAGAGTAGCCCTAGTGTCCTTCAACCGGTACAGCCCAGCATTTGTCTGATCCAAGAACAAACCAACTCTGTCAAAGGGGAGGTCCTGGATCGAGGCCTGCATCTCCTGGGAGAGGCCTGCCGTCTGGAGCCAGGAACTACATCGCATGACCACTGCCAATTTGGCCACTCTTGCCAACAAGTCCGCTGCATCCCATGCCATTTGCAGGGAGCATCTGACCACTGCCATACCCTCCTCCAGAGTGCCAAACTCTTGGGCCAAACCCTGAGGGAAGGATTCCTGGAACTTTTTGAGACCGTCCCAGAGATTAAAATTGTACTGGCCCAGCAGGACCTGATGGTTCGCCACCCAAAATTGCAGGCTGGCAGTAGAATAAATCTCTCCCCCAAATAAATCAAGTTTCTTCGTGTCTTTGTTTTTGGACGTCGAGGAGGTGGGGACCTGCATGTCTTTTTTGTTGGTTGCAGATACAACCAGCAAGCCCGGGGGCGGGTGGGCATAGAGGTATTCGAAACCCTTGGCAGGCACAAAGTACTTTTTCTCAGCCCAATTTGAGGTGGGCGGGATGGAGAAGGGGGTTTGCTGCAAGGCCTTGGCTATACTGAGGACCCTCTCATGCAGGGCGACCCAGGCGAGGGTAGAGGCCAAGAGGACATTGAAGAGGGTGTCCTCCTGCTCCCCTATCTCCTGTACCTCGAGCCCCAGGTGCTTGGCCACGTGCCAGAGAAAGGCTTGATGTTCCCTAAAGTCACCCGGCGGGCTAGCTCTGGAAGGTCCCGCGACCGCCTCGTATGGGGATGACGAGGAAGACTGGAAAGCCAGTGGGGGTGCTGGGGTCTCAACCATGGTTGGAGAAAGAGGCTTTGGGGTGGGCAGAGGTTCCTCCACCCTGACCTCAGAATGGGCTTCCAGTACCAGGTCCGGTGCTGGTGGGGCCACCACCCAATGTTCCGCTGCAGCCACCGAGCAGCGCTGCGAAGGAGGCACCATCACAACCGGTATGCCCAATGCACTCCAATAAGACCACTGTGCTGGCCAGTGGTTATGCTGCCATTGCGGTCCTGCAGATGAGGGAGCGGGCTCCGGTGCCCAGTCATGCCAATGAGACTTTGGCAATCAGCTGAACTGGCCCTCCGGACCGGAGGAACCCTCTTCTGGTGACCAGGGAGGAGCCGTCAACATCTGCGTTTGTTTGCTGGTCATGGCTACTGGTGATCGTTGCCCAGGCGTAACTGAAAGGTAACTGTAGCGTGGAGACCTGTACCAGGAACATTCCCACCATTCCGGTGATTGGGACCAATGCGATCATCAAGAAAGCAAGCAGTGCCAGGAATAGAAAGGAAAGCGTCGACCCCATGCTGGAGAGTAGTGACAAGGGGATCTGGAAGCTTGCCTGGGTGACCGGCGACACAATTAGGATCTGCCCCGGGATTCCCGACGCAGCAGCAAAGAGCAATACCTTCTGTCCGGCAATCAGCATTGTTCCCCTATCCCCTGAGGGGTCTTAACTGTAGGCTTGCCCTCTTGGGGAGCCTTAGCAGGGACCTGCAGCAGCGGGGTCATCATTGGAGCAGGTGGAGACCTGTGCTCTCTCTGCGCCAAGGGAGCCAGGGATGACAAAGGTGCAGGCAGCAGTGCGGGTACCATACTGCTCCCAGGAATCGGTGATGGACCTTTAAGGGCACCCCAACCAGGGAGGCATGATCGCGTGGCTCCGGAGAAATTTGGTGGGCAGGTCTGGGTCCCTTGGTAGATGACCCCTGGGCCTTCTTGCTCGGTGCCAGGGAGTGTTTCTTGGCCTTCTTCTTTGGCAGAGGTGATGGCCAACAGTGCCAGGAGAGGCCTGGTGCTGATGCACGGAGGCCGAGGCACTTGGCACTACCTGCCTGGACAGCTCGGAAGCTAGGCGGAGGGCGGACTTCATCAGGAGAGCACTGAGGCAATGTCCCGCTCCCTCTGGGTGCGGGGCCGAAAGTTTCTGCAGAACTGCCCCTTCATTTGTGACTCCCCAGGCACTTAAGGAAGCTGCCCTGGGGGTCACTCACAGGCATAGGCTGCTGCAGTGCGAGCAGGGCTTAAACCTGGGAGACCCGGGCATGCCCCGCCTGGGGCAAAATCCTGCTGGGACCCTAACGACTAACTAACACTTAACGAGTACTTTACTTAGCACTAGCAAAAGCGAACTACGTACAACAGCCTTAAGGCACGAAGTTCAGAATGACAGACAACCACTAGCTCTAGCTAAGAAAAAAAAGGTGCTCTGACTGACCACCACAGGCAGTAAGAAGGAACTGAGAGGGCATTGGGACAGCGGCGCCTGATATACCGCGCTCATGCAGCGGTACTCTAGCGGGTGGCACAGTCAGCCCTATGTGGTCCTAAAACAAAAATCTCCGAGGGCCATGTATGTGGGCACACACACATCTAGAATGGAATCCTTACGAGCAAGCACTCAAAGAAGAACTAATTTTCCGTAACGAAGGAGTTGTATAAATAAAGGACACAATACCCAGTGGGACTGGAAAGTGATAGTGATAATTACCACAACCAGAACCTCAGAAAGAAAAAGAAAGAAAGCCCAAACCCTTTGGCTACAGAAGTTCTCCCTGTCTCACAGTGGGAGCTCAGGACCCAAGAATGAGAATCCTGTTTGTAAAGCATCTCTGAAGAATATCACTGTGGACAAACTTCATGCTTGTATTGGACTTTAAATCAATGAGCTGGCAGCTCATTTCCAAAGTACCACTTAGAGCAGCCCTGAAATAAACCTTATGTTCCACATCCCCAACCTACGGTAAGGCACTACTTTAAATAAACATTGGTCAAAGAAAACCTCAGAAATAAGCATCTGCTGAAGCTGAATACCCAGACACTCTAATCATTTTAGCTACACAGCTGTTCAGAGCTTTTCATTACCAGTTTTTAATGTACTATATAAAAAGAATACTAACCATCATGGCTGTGATCCACATTACTGCATGTCCTATATCATAAGCATTTGTTAAGAATCTTGGAACTAAAACTTGACCGCTTCCCACTGGAAGATTCAAACTTCTCAAAATCCTTGTAAATATCTGTTAAAAAAGTTAATATTATTACTTAATACTATTTATAAGAGGTTTCTGTACAATACTTGTAATGGGGCAACAGTTCCTGCATAGTTGTTATTAATTTGCTAGAATAAACATCCGAGTAACAAAACATCACATATGCATTTAGTGTTTGGCTACTCGTAGTTACTGCAAGTTCCATTCTTAGCAGTGTGCATAACCGATACAATTTTAGGTCCCAGCATCAAGGGTTACTCTAAGACAATCAGTTTTCACATAAAGGTGAAATACATTTAAATGCATGATTGTAGGAGAACTATCATGATACTAAACACCCAGCAGTCTGAGATTCAAACTGCTGGTACTAGAGAACTAAAATCAGGTTAAAGATTATGCAATAGTTTTTTCTCTCCTCTGCTGGTAATAGCTCACCTTAACTGATCACTCTCATTATAGTGTGTATGATAACATCCATTGTTTCATGTTCTGTGTGTGTGTGTGTGTATATATATATCTTTCTACTGTATTTTCCACTGCATGCATCCAATAAAGTGGGTTTTAGCCCATGAAAGCTTATGCTCAAATAAATTTGTCAGTCCCTAAGGTGCCACAAATACTCCTGTTCTTTTTGCAATAGTTTGGTTATCATTACAATTTAAACTTCTACCTAGTATTCCAAATGATTTGTGCATACTGTAAACAAGAGTGTTTTCCAAGAATTGCTGTGGGGCACTCCACCTACAACTTCTTTTCAGTTAGAAAAGGTATCACAGACAAGGAGTTATTTATTTTTATTCCAATATTTTTGATGATGTTATAAGTTTGAGAGGGAAAATGAGTGCCAGCAACTTCTTACATGCACCTATAGCTTTTGAAGATGGAAGGAAAGTTAGTCTTTAGTGTCCTATCCCCACATACTACTTCTGCATCAGAAGCTTGAGGATAGGGCATAAGGGTCCTTGTATTCATCTCCTTATAGTTGGTAACTAGGTGTTGCAGCTAATAATGGAGATTCAAACCATACCAACGTGTTCGGGGATCTTGGATAAGGCAAAATAGAGAAATGGGAGAACAAAGAAATGTTAAGTCTGAATGAAAAAACAAAACAAAACAGGCAAGTATGATTAAAATGCAGTTCCAGAACCATAAAAAGGAATATGAAATTAAAGACAAACCCACTGGATTTAATAAACAAGAGATTAATAAGGCCCACCACTTTTTTTTGATGGAAGCAATACAAAAGAACATGAGAGAGAGTATAGCAGTCCACAATACAGCAGCAAATCCAGCCAGAGAGGCGTTGCGAAGAGAGTGCGCAGCCCCAATAACGGTCAGCAATGGCGATGAAAAGGCAGGAGAAAGCACGGAAGCTGCAGGTGTGCTGAGGGTAGAATGCCAGCACCATACGTATGTCCAGGGAATGAAGCACGCGGTGTCTGGAGGAGGAATATAGTTTGGGGTAGAAGGTGGGGAGATTAAAGTGTCTGGTAGAAGGCGGGACATTGATTGAGGTGGAATGGGGATGCCACTTTGGGGAGGAATTTGTGGTGGAGGTGGAGGGAGACATTGTCCTTGTGCAAGACAGTGAAGGGAGGATCCACCATCATGGCCGCCAGTTCGCTGACGCATAGTGCAGAGGTAATGGCCACCAAGAAGATCACCTTCATGGAGAAGTGGGCAGGGAGCAAGGGGCGAGAGATTCCAAGGGCAGCTTAGTGAGGGTGGAGAGGACCACACTGAGGTCCCAGGTAGGGGTCCGCTTGCAGACTGAAGAAACGGCATTGAGAAGGCCATGGAGGAAGTGGACAGTAGTCGGGTGAATGAAGATGGAAAAGCCATTCACCGGGGGGAGAAAGGCACTGAGTGCCGCCAGGTGTACATGAATGGAGGAGTGGGCAAGGCCGGAGTACCGGAGGTGGAGGAGGTAGACCAGGACAACAGGCCTGGAGATAGCATCCAGGGAATAGCCATGGTCACACACCCAAATGGTGAAGCAGCACCATTTCGCCTGATAGCAAACTCTAGGGGGCCGTCACCTGCTGTGTGTAAGGATGTTGTGGATGGAATCAGAGCAGAGCATGCTGCGTCTATCCGCGAGCTCCATTCAAATACCAGCCCGTGGGGGGGCTGGGGTTGGGTTGTCAGATGCAGCCAATGGGTTGTGTCAAGAGATTGGGAAGGTGAATTGGGGGGCAGATGGAGAGGAGAAGGAGATCTGTAAAGCGATATTGGCAAAGCCAAGTGGGGGCCACAAGGATGACTGTCGCCTGATCCCATTGTATTTTGCTTAGGGCTTGTGGAAACGGGAATGGGCGGGAAGGCACAGTGGAGTTCAGTGGTCCAAGGAAGGAGAAGGGCGTCGCCCTGAGATCCTGGGCTGAGGGCTCCCCTGGAACAGAAGGGAGGAAGTTTGAGATTGTCTGCTGTGGCGAAGAAATCGTAGTGAGGGGTACCCCACTGGCAAAGAACAGAGTGGAGTGTGAGGTCATAGAGTTCGCGCTCATAGTTGGCATGGAAGGAGAGACTGAGGGAGTCAACAAGAGAGTTGCTTGTGCCAGGAAGATGTACAGCATGGAGAGTGATGTCATATTTGAGGCACCAATTCCAGAGGACGATGGCCTTCACACAGCGGGGGGGAACGTGTCCCGTCCTACTTGCTGACATAGGCAACTGTTGCATGTTGTCTGAGAGAAGTTGGACATGGCAGGAGCGGAGGAGTGGCAGTAGCATTCAGCAGGCTAAGTGAATGGCATGAAGTTCAAGAACGTTGATGTGCATTCTTGCCTCTCTGGGCAACCAGAGGCCCTGGCCATGTGTCCATCCACATGTGTGCCCCAGCTTGCCAGGGAGGTGTCGGTGGTGAGGGTCGTGCATGGCACCGGAGGCATAAATGGGATGCCCACCAGGAATGGAGGATGGGTTGTACCACCAAATGAGGAAGGTTGAGGGCAGTGACCATATGGTGAAGGAGGGCCTGATTCTGGGCATGATCAACAGGAGGCGAGACGGAGGGAGGAATGAGCACTTCATCAGGCAATGAAAAGGCACCGGTGGGGACCTGCGGGGCCAGTGGAGTGGGAGCATCTGAAGGAGCATTGTAAATGGTGGTAGTGGATGGGGAGGGCTGACTGAGTATATGACGTTGGTATGGGTCCCAAAGCAAGCTAAGAGCACCGAAGAACAGTGGTTCCGACTCTGGCCATGCAGAGGTAAGAGGGAACTGGAGCAGCATTGATCCACACGGCTTCTTAAAGTCGCGGATGACCCACGCGGTTGACGCACATTTGGTCAACAGATGCTACTATGAGCAGTTCTGGCTCTGGCGCGAATGAGCACCCGTGATCGGAAACCACACAGGGACCATCACTCAAAGAAGAACAAGTATTTATATTACGAGAGAAATTGGATTTAATCTTTTCATAAGAGACCAAATTTCAGCAATAAAGCACCCAAATTATTGGGGAAACTGATGAAGTTAATATTTACCCTCGATGAAGGATTGAAAATTTAAGTGATGATCATTTAGAAGTCAGGAAGCTAAGAACATAAGAACGGCCATACTGGGTCAGACCAAAGGTCCATCTAGCCCAGTATACTGTCTTCTGACAGTGACCAATGCCAGGTGCCCCAGAGGGAATGAACAGAACAGGTGATCATCAAGTGATCCATCCCGTCGCCCATTCCCCAGTTCCTAGCAAAAGGAGGTTAGGGACACCATCCTGCCCATCCTAGCTAATAGCCATTGATGGACCTATCCTCCATGAACTTATCTAGTTCCTTTTTTAACCCTGTTATAGTCTTGGCCTTCACAACATCCTCTGGCAAGGAGTTCTACAGATTTACTGCATTGTGTGAAAAATACTTCCTTTTGTTTGTTTAAAACCTGCTGCCTATTAATTTCATTTGGTGACCCCTATTTCTTGTGTTACGAGAGGAGTAGCTCTCTGGAGATTTATTTCGTATGTTTAATATCCAGTGAAAAAAGTTGAGTCTGAATTCCCTAAAATAACTGAAGCAAGCCATATCTAAAAGTATCAGAATCACACAATTTCATTTGTTTTCTCAGTAAGAAGGGACAGGTGGCTATATGAGCCAACAGTTTAAGAGACATAAAAATGTTGGCCAAAATAGTCTCTTTCCAACTTTTTGGTATTCTTACAACTTACACTTAGCCTCACAAAGGCATTAATATGATCCTTCTCAGTACCAATTGGACTATTTCCAAGGAAGCTGGCTGGCCTGAATTCTATAGTGTTCATACCGTTGAGACAACAAAGAAAAAGAAAATATTACACTATATCTTTATTAACTCAAATTTGGAATTGTTTGAAACAAAAATAACTTTGGACTTTTGAAAATGTGCATGCTACATCAAAATCTGATTCAAGTTGGCAAAAGCTGGTTTACTCCAGAAGATTTTAATATATTAAAATGCTATGAACAGCTTGAAATCAAAAGTCAGAGATTCAGTGCGTTTGTGCTGTGCATCAACTAATTCAAAAGCGGTTCCATACTTGGTCTCATTCTTGCAAGTAAGTGGGATTACTTGTGCATTTAAAGTTATTCACACACATAATTGTTTACAGAAGGGTGGTGCAATATAGTAATGCCCTTTTGAGTCAACTGATGAAGACTGCCAACTCCCAAAGCTATATACAGAGAGTTCATTCAGATTTTCAGCTGCACATACCTAGCTTGAAAATATGGTTATATGAGGCCAAAACAGAGGCTACAGAGAATATTTATGTTTGGTATTGCCCACATTGAAATATATCTTCAGGGTTAGTGTAATATTATTGCAGGGTAAACAATATCACTTGTAAAAATAACAGATATTACCTTTGGTACATATGGATCCCAGTCTATGTACCCTATGTTGTCAGTGGCCAAGCGAGCAAAAAGGTTTACTAGATGCTGGGGGGAGGGGAGGAGAAACAAAAAAACAGGTCAATATTCCATAGCATACATTTCTAAGAGAAGAACTCGACGCCCATTTCATCAGTGGCCACAGAGACAAAATATCAGTTCATCTCAGCAAGAGAGATTTTAAGATCATATTCACCAATGTCACACAGGGCATAAATAAGGAGTTAAAGAATCTTAATGTAAACATTTGAGAAATCATTACACTTCCTGCGCTGAGATCCCCACCTCACTTGTTACTTCTTTTAATATTCATGACTAAAATACAAACAAAAACTCCACCCCTCCACCCCCATATCTCTTTCATATTAGGGATACTGAACTATGGGATGCCGTTATATTTGTGGAATTTCATAGAACTATACCACAATAGCCCTTTGCATCCCCATAAGGATTGACTGGTAGTCTGGAAAATGCATGAGAGAGCAATTATAAACTGCCCAACAAGCAAAACTGCTGGCTTGTTTACTCAATCAGCAACAGCTTGTTGGAAGTCATGAAATTACCACCTTTCCCCTCCACATTAGAGAAAGGGGAGGAAAAATGGAACTTGATGTGACAGTGTTCAAGTTAAACAGGGGAGGGATAGCTCAGTGGTTTGAGCATTGGCCTGCTAAACCCAGGGTTGTGAGTTCAATCCTTGAGGGAGCCATTTGGGATCTGGGGCAAAAATTGGCGATTGGTCCTGCTTTGAGCAGGGGGTTGGACTAGATGACCTCCTGAGGTCCCTTCCAACCCTGGTATTCTATGATGATTCTATGATTCTATGAAATATTTCAGGTTTATTTACAAGTACATTTTCACTCTATTTATATAGTGCTATTCTACAGGATTAGGAAAAGTAAATACTCACCCCCTCCCATTGTGGAAGATTCTGAACTGAAAACCAGAGGCCTATAAATTCATCAAACCAAAGCCTGCAAGAAAATGAAATCAAGCCAGTCATTTCAGCACGGCACCAATCTCTCCTCCATCATCAGGCACACATTTCATCTCCACTCTACTAGGCAGTTTCAGGCACCTTTTCTCCTGGTCTCACTTTCACTAATCCAAGTATTTTTTTCCCCCTTCCTGACTGGCTATGGTCACTGTCCTACCACTAGTTCTTTCATCCCAAGCTTCAGTCCTTGGCATTCTTTCCTCCTCCCTCCTTTACCACCTTGTCATTTCTGGCCAACTTTTAAATGTAAAGTTTAGTAAAAGTTTTATGTTAATAATTTACATCTGTATTTCACTTCCTTCTACCTATCTCAGTCTCACCAGTTCCTTGTTCTGTCTTAATTTTCATCTCAACTGGCATACTCACTAGTAAGAACCCATCGCACGTAGTTTGTATCACCCTCCTACTCTAATGTCTAACATTTTTCCCTATTGTCCAAGACTTATGATAGGCATCAGACTTGATCCCAAATTCTTTCAGAGCTTGGGAAACAAGCTTCACCATTCCTCTACCTAAACTCTTATTTATTCCTTCATTTTACTGAAACCTTTCTAATTCTCTCCTTTAAGTTCTCCACAAGCCCAATTAAATTAGAAGTATTTAAATCAGCAGGGCTGATGAAAAACATCCCAGGGTATTTAAGGAACTAGCTGAAGCAATCCTGAAACTGCTAGAGATTATCTTTGGGAATTCATAGGGATGGGTGAGGTCCCAGACAACTGGAGAAGTGCAAATATACTGCTTATCTCTAAAAAAGGGGGAAAAGGAAGAGCTGGGGAATTAGAGACCAGTCAATCTACTCTCAGTACCTGGAAACATACTGAAATAAATTATCAATCAATTTGTAAGCACCTAGAGGATAAGACAGTGATAAGTAATAGTCAACACAGATGTGTCAAGAACAAGAACTTTCCTTCTTTGACAAAAAGAAAAGGAGTACTTGTGGCACCTTAGAGACTCACAAATTTATTTGAGCATAAGCTTTCATGAGCTACAGCTCACTTCATCAGATGCATTCAGTGGAAAATACAGTGGGGAGATTTATATACACAGAGAACATGAAACAATGGGTGTTACCATACACACTGTAATGAGAGTGATCACTTAAGGTGAGCTATTACCAGCAGGAGAGCGCCGGGGGGGGGGGGGGACACCTTTTGTAGTGATAATCAAGGTGGGCCATTTCCAGCAGTTGATAAGAACGTCTGAGGAACAGTGGGGGGGGGGACGGGACGGGACAGTTTTACATTGTGTAATGACCCATCCACTCCCAGTCTCCATTCAAGCCTAAATTAATTGTATCCAGTTTGCAAATTAATTCCAATTCAGCCAAAAGGGGCCACAACAGTGGTTCCCTTAACCCACCCAGCAATATTGTTAATCTATCCAACTATACTCTTAGCCCAGCAGAAGAATCTGTCCTATCTCGGGGCCTCTCCTTCCATCCCTCCACCCCCACGAACATGATACAGTTCTGTGGTGACCTAGAATCCTATTTTTGACGCCTCCGACTCAAAGAATATTTCCAACACACCTCTGAACAACATACTAACCCACAGAGTCCTTCCTACCAACACTACAAAAAGAAGGATTCTGGGTGGACTCCTCCTGAAGGTCGAAACAACAAACTGGACTTCTACATGGAGTGCTTCCGCCGACGTGCATGGGCTGAAATTGTGGAAAAGCAGCATCACTTGCCCCATAACCTCAGCCGTGCAGAACACAATGCCATCCACAGCCTCAGAAACAACTCTGACATCATAATCAAAAAGGCTGACAAAGGAGGTGCTGTCATCATCATGAATAGGTCGGAATATGAACAAGAGGCTGCTAGGCAGTTCTCCAACACCACTTTCTACAAGCCATTACCCTCTGATCCCACTGAGGGTTACCAAAAGAAACTACACCATTTGCTCAAGAAACTCCCTGAAAAAGTACAAGAACAAATCTGCACAGACACACCCCTGGAACCCCGAACTGGGGTATTCTATCTGCTACCCAAGATCCATAAACCTGGAAATCCTGGACGCCTCATCATCTCAGGCATTGGCACCCTGACAGCAGGATTGTCTGGCTATGTGGACTCCCTCCTCAGGCTCTATGCTACCAGCACTCCCAGCTATCTTCGAGACACTACTGACTTCTTGAGGCCACTATGGATGTAGAAGCCCTTTACACCAATATTCCACACAAAGATGGACTACAAGCCGTCAGGAACACTATCCCCGATAATGTCACGGCTAACCTGGTGGCTGAACTTTGTGACTTTGTCCTCACCCATAACTATTTCACATTTGGGGACAATGTATACCTTCAAATCAGCGGCACTGCTATGGGTACCCGCATGGTCCCACAGAATGCCAACATTTTTATGGCTGACTTAGAACAACGCTTCCTCAGCTCTCGTCCCCTAACGCCCCTACTCTACTTGCGTTATATTGATCACATCTTCATCATCTGGACCCATGGAAAAGAAGCCCTTGAGGAATTCCACCATGATTTCAACAATTTCCATCCCACCATCAACCTCAGTTTGGACCAGTTCACACAAGAGATACACTTCCTGGACACTACTAAGTGCTAATAAGCGATGGTCACATAACCACCACCCAATACTAGAAACCTACTGACCGCTATTCCTACCTACATGCCTCCAGCTTTCATCCAGAGCACACCACACAATCCATTGTCTACAGCCAAGCTCTACGATACAACCACATTTGCTCCAACCTCTCAGACAGAGACAAACACCTACAAGATCTCTATCAAGCAGTCTTACAACTACAATACCCACCGGCTGAAGTGAAGAAACAGATTGACAGAGCCAGAAGAGTACCCAGAAGTCACCTATTACAGGAAAGGCCCAACAAAGAAAATAACAGAATGCCAATAGCCATCACCTTCAGCCCCCAACTAAAACCTTTCCAACGCATCATCAAGGATCCACAACCTATTCTGAAGGACGACCCATCACTCTCACAGATCTTGGGAGACAGGCCAGTCCTTGCCTACAGACAGCCCCCCAACCTGAAGCAAATACTCACTAGCAACCACATACCACACAACAGAACCACTAACCCAGGAACCTATCCTTGCAACAAAGCCCGTTGCCAACTGTGTCCACATATCTATTCAGGGGACACCATCATAGGTCCTAATCACATCAGCCACACTATCAGATGCTCGTTCACCTGCACATCTACCAATGTGGTATATGCCATCATGTGCCAGCAATGCCCCTCTTCCATGTACATTGGTCAAACTGGACAGTCTCAACGTAAAAGAATAAATGGACACAAATCAAACATCAAGAATTATAACATTCAAAAACCAGTCGGAGAACACTTCAATCTCTTTGGTCACTCGATTACGGACCTAAAAGTGGCAATTCTTCAACAAAAAAACTTCAAAAACAGACTCCAACGAGAGACTGCTGAATTGGAATTAATTTGCAAACTACAATTAACTTAGGCTTGAATAGAGACTGGGAGTGGATGGGTCATTACACAAAGTAAAACTATCCTCCCCCCACCGTTCCTCAGATGTTCTTACCAACTGCTGGAAATGGCCCACCTTGATTATCACTACAAAAGGTTCCTCCCCCCACCCTCCTGCTGGTAATAGCTCACCTTAAGTGATCACTCTCGTTACAGTGTGTATGGTGACACCCATTGTTTCATGTTCTCTGTGTATATAAATCTCCCCACTGTATTTTCCACTGAATGCATCCGATGAAGCGAGCTGTAGCTCACAAAAGCTTATGCTCAAATAAATTTGCTAGTCTCTAAGGTGCCACAAGTCCTCCTTTTCTTTTTGCGGATACAGACTAACACGGCTGCTACTCTGAAACCTTCTTTGACAGGGTTACTGGCCCTAGTGGATAGGGAGAAGCAACAGATGTGATATATCTTGATTTTATAAGGCTTTTGACACAGTCCCACATGACATTCTCATACACAAACGAAGGAAATATGGTCTCTAGATGAAAGTACTGTAAGATGGGTGCACAACTGGTTGAAAAACTGTATTCAAAGAGTAGTTATCAATAGTTCACTGTTCCACTGATACAGTTCAACATATCTAGTGAAGTCCTGCAGGGTCTGTCACTATACAATATTTTCATTAATGCTTGGAGAATGGAGTGGAGAGTATGCTTATAAAATTTTAAGAGAACATCAAACCAGGAGGGGCTGCAAGCACTTTAGAGGACAGAATGAGAATTCAAAATAACCTTGACGAATTAGAGAATTGGTCTGAAATCAATATGATGAAATTCAATGAAGATAAATAAAAAGTACTTTTTTGCCTGGAGGCGTAGGGGGAGCCAGCTGAGATCACTCAGTTGAGGTGGACTGCAAAGAATGGGGCAGACAATCCCCAAAGCTGGTGGATATTTCAATACTTAGATTTACGAAACAGCTTCTGTTATACCTGACTGGTTACTCAGAAGTCAAGAATGATGAAGATGAATGAAAACCTTATTCGCCATATAAAAGAAAAGATTCTACCAATTCCAAAAGGTCGGATACATTACCTCCCAGGTTAATGAATATTCCAGATCTTACCAAATACATGCTTATAGCCAATTCTTATTAACTAAACTAAAATTTGTTAAAATACAAAAGAGATACATACAGACATGAGCCACTCCTGAGGTTCAGATTCATAGCAGAGATGATAACTCTTTGCAGCTACAAAGCTTCTTTTAGAAATTTAGTCCATAGGTTATAGTCCAATGTTTATCTTCAGGGAGGTCCAGTTAGAACTGGCATCTCAGTCCTGATGGCTTAGGCTTCACCTGCATGAAACCTCAAGCAGATCTGAGATGACAGGATCAGGACCCACGGATCTTTTATACAATTTCAAGCCTTCTTTGAAACGTCGGCATCCCTTGGCTTACAATAGGTGATCAGGGCGACTTTGGGCATGTCTTCACTAGCAACATTAAACATGGCTGTGTAGTTGTGGCACCAACAT